GCCAGTGGCCAGGTTGGAATTTGAGCCCTGATCTGTATATTTCCGTAGCTCAGGCCCTTCCTCCTCTTTCTACTTCCTGCCAGGTCCAGCTGGCCAGCACTTCCGCCTGCCCCAGCATACGCTTTCTCCAGGCCACCCTGGCCTCCGCAGCCTGGATGTGCTTGGTCGAGGTCTGGTTTCCGTAGTGCCTGCCACACTGAATCTCAGCTTCTGCACGTCATGCTTCATCAAAATACACGCTGTTAACCACTCCTTATGTTACAAATAGCTGATTTTTGTCCGACACTGATTACTGCCTGTTAATACAGAGGTGGCTGCCACAGCCTCTACACTCAAGGTGTTCATAGGACAGGGGGACTGACAGGAAGCTAGCAGTTCCCACAGAGGAGGTGCCACGAGTGTGGCTGAAGTGACCACCATGAAGTAGGGAGGGAGGATACTCCAGCGGGAGAAACTACAGGTCCAGCACACACAGCTGGTGGCATAGTTGGGCAGTGCACTAGGCAGCAGGGCCTCGGGATATTGAGCAGAGTGGGCGAGGAAGCAGACTCCTAAACTGATGGGCTGCCTGCCTTGAGGTAGGCGTGGACATAGCCTGAGTTGCTCCCCACACATACTGCCATTCTAGTGGCTTGGAGAGGTGGCAGGAGGGGAGGGGAGAATAGGACCTGGAGACAGGCTTGTGCGGGGGGACCATCACAGGTTCAGGGAGAGATGGGGTGAGGATTTGAACTTTAGGGAATGGAGGTCAAAATTGGGAACTGAAGAGGGGGTTCCCAGGTTTCTGGTCTGGGCGATTCTAAGATTGCAGGGTGTTTTCTTGGTGTGTCACTGCCTTCTGCTCCGGCAGGATCTAGACAGTAAGGGCCTCCTCCTGTCCCCGTGTGATGGATCTGGTCCTCCCTCAGCAGGCTCTGGTTTAAACCAGATACCAGTGGAACCCTGACTGGGCAGACAGGTACAGCTGTGGTAACCAGGAGGAAGCTAGACTGAGGGAGCTTGTGGAGCCCAGGTTGCAGCAGGAGGCTGTGTGCTCTTAGCTGGTGTCAGTCCTCCATTTTTAAAAACATATATATTTTATTGATTTTTTACAGAGAGGAAGGGAGAGGGATAGAGAGTTAGAAACATCGATCAGCTGCCTCCTGCACACTCCCTACTAGGGATGTGCCCGCAACCAAGGTACATGCCCTTGACCAGAATCGAACCTGGGCCCTTCAGTCCGCAGGCTGGCACTCTATCCACGGAGCCAAACCGGTTAGGGCAGTCCTCCATTCATTTTACTTTTTGTTGTTGTTGTTAATCCTAACCCAAGGATATTTTTACCACTGATTTTTTTAGAGAGAGTGGAAAGGAGGGGGAGAGAGAGAAAAACATAGATGTGAAAGAGACACATCGATTGGTTGATCCTGCATGCGGTCAGAGCACAGGATCAAGCCTGCAACTGAGGTACATGCCCTTGACTGGAATCGAACCCACGACCCTTCAGTCCACGGGCTGACACTCTATTCATTGAGCCATATCAGCTAGAGCAGTGGTTCTCAACCTTCTGGCCCTTTAAATACAGTTCCTCATGTTGTGACCCAACCATAAAATTATTTTCGTTGCTACTTCATAACTGTAATGTTGCTACTGTTATGAATCGTCATGTAAATATCTGATATGCAGGATGGTCTTAGGCGACCCCTGTGAAAGGGTCGTTCGACTGCCAAAGGGGTCTCGACCCACAGGTTGAGAACCACTGGGCTAGAGAGAGTCCTCCATTCATTTTAGAGGGCTGGCTAGGCCCAGGCACCAGCCACCAGACAGAGCCCTTCTGTTACAGTGCTAATGCCTCTCCGGCAGCCTTGGGTTTGGTGGTGGCTGCTTTGGTATTGGGACGTGACAGGACGGCCATTTAGGGTTTGTCCTTGTGAACTGACACCGGTTTTGCTCCTGACTTGCCCCAGCTGGGTGGCACAGATCTGGGGCTTGCTTGTGTGGGGCAGAGCTCACCTTGACCTGTTGGTTCTTTTCAGTTGAGTTCCTGAGGCTGAACCTCCACTCCGCTTCTTGTTTGGGGCCATCTCCTTGCTGTATGGTAGTTCACCTTCGTTTAGAGACGGTCACTGGAAGGGCTTTGTTTTTTGGAGGTGGAGACTGAGGAGTGGCCGTTCAGGCCCAGCTACTCCGCCAGGCCTTCTGGGACAGCAGCAAAGCCGAGATTGGGGAGGCTGAAGGGGCTTCGGCAAGCAGCCGGTTCTGCCCCTGTGCAGGGCTCCTCCCAGCGTGGGACTGGGTCCCAATGACCGCCTCATACAGTGGACACGTTAGGTCCTGAGTGCAGTGGAGGGACACCACACCTAAGCACAGGTATGAAATGTGGTGAGACATGCAGTTAAAACCCACACAATGGACAGGTGCCTCAGACACAATGTTGAGGTGACTGAATAGGAAAAGACAGGCCGTCTCCTTGGGGGGAATGGAAGATACTAACAGAGAGTATAACCGCCTGGTTTATTTTTTGCCTTATCTTCTGTGTTATGGAGCATGATCTGCAGGCTAGAAACAGGAGCAAACACATTTTTTAAATTATGGTTTGCATAACTGAAAACAGTGCTCAGGGCACCTGTTTATTCTTCAGCCACCAAACACGCTCAGCCTGTTTGGGCAGGCTCTGCGTGTAACAGTGGAGGGGACAAGTGCATGACACGGGCATGGTGCTGCCTCGCAGGGCCCTGGTGCCGGCCAAGGAGCAGCCTTTCTCCTCCACTCTGTACTGACGCAGCCGCTTTCATGGTTCATGGGCAGAACTGGACATTTATCCAGTTTCATTTCCTATTGTTAAGATGTGTGTTCCAGCTTGTCAAGATATGCCTGTTTCTGGCCTCCCATATTGTCAGTGCTCCTCAGTCTCTAAGTCACGGACAGCCGGTGCCCATGCTGTCCATGTCATCTATGATGTTGCTCTAACCAGGACAGGATAGGGCTCCTCTAGCAGATCCCCTGGCATCTGGTGCCTTTGGGCCTGGTGAGGTTCCCCCACCTAAAGGCTACTACAGTAAGCTGGCATCCGTGTCTTATTTCTGTGGATGTGCCAGGTTCTTTGCTGCAGTTAAGATGCACGATGTCGGTGGGGCCTGTGAGTCTGCTGACCCTATAAAAGACGGCCAGCCAGCGGTTCAGGAGGACAGCTTTTCGCCAGCCAGGAGCCTGGCTAAGCCCTTGGAGATAGCTGCTTTGGGGCACTGAGCCCATTTGTGTAACCAGTCTCATCTTCAGAGACCTCAGCACCCCTCTCTGCCTCTCTGCGCTTACACCGTGGCTCCTGCCTTCACTTTCTACCCAAAGCCTCCCCACTCCGTACCCAGTCAGCTGACCAGCAAATGCCCCTTTGCTGTGTCCACTGCTCTGCTCTGGGTCACCTTGTTAGTTCCAGGCTCTGTGGCAGGGCTTGCCACACACTGTTGTCGGAAGGTGGCAAGGGGAACACGTTTTGTCCTGGGGGGTGCAGGTGAGGCGCCCTTCTGAAGACAGGTCTGCCCAGTCACTTCTCTTGTTGGAAATGCTCAGTGACTTAGAGCCTAATGCCAGGTGACATCTCAGCATGTGGGTGCTGGGTCCTCCTGGCCTGCCAGCCTCACTTCCCTGTGAGTTGGATCTTGTGTTGTCCTCCTGCATTATTTTTCTCACCCTTTTCTTGTGGTCCTGGTCTTACATTCCCTGTGCGTGCATCTGCTCCACCTTGGGTGCTTTGTGGCAGGAACCTTTTGCTGCCTCCTATGCAGGCTTAATGAAGCAGATGGGGCACAGACCCCAGACTCACACGTGTTGAATAAATTATCCAGTGGTATGGTTGATCAGCGTCATTTTATCTTTCTTTATGCATTAATACAGACTTGTCCCTCTCTTAGCATTTAGCCTCTTTTCTGGGATTTCTTTAAGGAGCATAAATCTGATCCTGCAGCCCCATGTGCACACTCTTTCAGTAGCCTGGGGTTTCTTTGTTTGGAATGGTCAGAAAGCTTCCTTGCACCAGCTGGACTGGGCTTGTTTAATGCACTTGGGTGAGGCAGCAGAGCCCTGACATGTTTGTTCATTTGTTTATCAGTAGGTTCAGTGCTGGGGAGATAGGCAGGGAGACCTCTCCTGCAGGGAAGAAGGCAGTCTATGAGCAGAGGGGCCAGGCCTCGGAACTCAAGCCTGACATGCCCCTTCCTTTCTAACAAATGCACATGTGTTCTTTGTGTGTGTGTGTGTGTGTGTGTGTGTGTGTGTGTGTGTGAGTGAGAATGTTTTCATCCAAAGGGAGCGTAAGCTTAGCTAATGGTCATAGCTCTGTCCCAGCAGAGTATCGGCATGATAAAAATGTGCGATAGGATCTCATCTTTTATTATATGTATTGGCAAATGTGCTTTTAAGATGTTTTCCTCGTGTGTGTGGTCTCTTCCTATCCCCAGCTAGAAGCTGTTGGAAGTTGGGGCTTATCTCCTGGGTCCCACCTGGGGAACCTGCACATCTCACATAGGGACCTTTGCCTTGGGAGGGACTGAAAGATGTTTTGTTGTGGCCCCTTTGTTTTACAGAGGAGAGTGGAGCTGGGATCCCACAAATCTTAATGCCAGAGTTAGGTGGGGACCCATGCCATTCAGAAGGCAGGAAATGGAGGCTGGCTGGCCACTCACCCTTCCCATGTGCACTTTATTTTGTGCTGATTGTGAGTGTTCCTCAGGGCCTGGCCCCTCTGCTCCCTCGTTCCAGGGGTGCCTATTTTGTTTGTGGTGACCACCTTTCCTGTTCTTTCCTTCTTATGCCCCTGCCCTCTTACTCCCTTTCTCATCTGCCTTTCATTGCTCTGCTGAGCACACCTCCCTTGTTGCCTTTCCTGGACCTCAGTGAGGCTGGTGTGCTGGGGGACAGGTCCCATCCACCCAGGGGCAGTTGCTGTGCAGGGCTTCTGGCCAGGAACCCTGCAGCAGCAGACTCATAGGATGTTAACATCTCTTCTTTTTTTTGTCTTTCAGCGAGGATGCCATGAGAAAAGCTGGTGTGGCCCACAGTAAATCCAGCAAGGATATGGAAAGCCATGTATTCCTGAAGGCCAAGACACGGGTAAGGCCCAGGTGGGCGGAGAGGCTCAGGAAGGGGTGGGTGTGATGCAGACTCTGGAAGCTTCTCTGCCTGGGGAGTGGAAAAGGGGTGGCTACTCACCGATTGATCATGGGCACTATCAGCTTTTCCTGCAGCTCTCTGTGGGTCTTCCCATGTGTCTATGGTATAGGTACAGGGAGGTTACTGGGTGGACTCCCAGTATGCAGTCCCAGAGTCTGACCCTAGACCTCACTACCAGCATCCTCCATTTGTGGTTAGCACCTATGAATCCTGTAGGGCAGGGGTCCTCAAACTACGGCTCATGGGTCACATGCAAATACAAATATTGTATTTGTTCCCGTTTTGTTTTTTTACTTCAAAATAAGATATGTGCAGTGTGCATAGGAATTTGTTCATAGTTTTTTTTTAAACTATAGTCCGGCCCTCCAGTGGTCTGAGGGACAGTGAACTGGCCCCCTGTTTAAAAAGTTTGAGGACCCCTGCTGTAGGGCATTCACTCAGGCCCCAGCTTCTCAGTGTCAGCTCTTGCCTAAGCCCCACATGGTCCTGACATGTGGGCCCAGAAGAGTTTCTGTCCCCTTTTGTTAAGTGATGAAGGTGGTGCTAGTGGAGATTGAGGCCTTGATCGAGGAACCAAGCATAGGAATATTACTGGTGGGGTAGTTGGGGAGGATTTCCAATGTGTGAGCTCTCATCCTGGGCTTCATGTGACTACCTCCTTCCATATGTGCACTCTCCCTGGGGCAGAGCTGTTTTAGTAAAAATGAAGCAGAATAGGCACAAAGAAGCCAAGCTGCTCGTCTAATGCTACCCAGTTTGTGCAAGGTGGGGCTGACGCCCAGGGCTTTTGTTCTGCATCACACCTGCCCTGTTCTCCTTATAGACCTGACCTCCAATCCCTCCTCTGACGCATTGGGTGTGCTCTGAGCGCCTTGTGCCTGAGTGCGGTGTTGGAGCTCTAAGACATGCTGTGTGTCACAAATTAAAAGCAGATGTTATGGCCCTTGACTGGATACTGGTTTGATAAACCAACTGTCAAGACACCTAGAGCTCAATTGGGGAAATTTGAGCATGGTCTGAATGTTTAGATGAGGTGAACATTTTGTGAAATGGAAAGGTAAAGATGACTGGCTAGAAAAGGCAGGTTCCAGAACAAACACCATCTATATAGTTTGGTCTTAAAGGTCAGAGCACATGAGTGTGTGTTTGTGAGCACACATAAGTGCAAGAAAGAGCTCTTGAGGCAGGGAAGGGAGGGTTCTGTGCCCTGGGTATATGTGATAAGCATTTTCTTTCTTTTTTTTATAATAACTTTATTAAGATCTTTATATACTATACAATTTACCATTTAAAGTATACAATTCAGTGATCTTTAGGATATTCACAGAGTTGTTGCACCATCACCAGGATCTAAGTTTTATAACATTTTCTAAAAGAAACTCCATTTCCATTCTGTTACTCTGCCCTTGATCTTTAGTCCTAGGCAACCACTTTCTGCTTACCATTGCATGGATTTGCCTTTTTTCATGTAAATGCAATTATATATGTTTTTCATTAGCATAATATTTTCAAGGTTCATCCATCAACCATGTTGTAGCATGTACTTATTCCTTTTAATTGCCAAATAGTATTTCACTGTATGGATATGCCACATTTTATGTACTTATCAGTTGATAGACATTGTTTTCACCTTTTGGCTATTATGAATGATGCTGCTATGAACATTTGTGTACAAATTTTTTATTTATTTCTTTTGGATATATATACCTAGGAGTGGAATTGCTGGATCATGTGATAATTATGTTTAACCTTTTGAGAAATTGTCAGACTGTTTTCCAAAGCAGCTGCGTCATTTTTCATTTACATCAACAGTATATACGGTTCCGATTTCTTCACTCCTCATCAACACTTGTTATTGGTTTTGATTTGCATTTCCCTGGTGACTAATGATTTGGGGCATCTATTCATGTAGTATTGGCCATTTGTATATTTTCTTTGGAAAAATGTTTATTCCAATCCTTTGCCTATTTTTAAAATATATATATATATATATTTTATTGATTTCAGAGAGGAAGGGTGAGGGAGGGAGAGAGACAGAGACAGAAACATCAATGATGAGAGAGAATCATTGATATCATTGATTGGCTGCCTCCTGCACGCCCCACACTGGGAATTGAGCCCGCAACCCCGGCATGTGCCTTGACTGGGAATTAAACCATGACTTCCTGGTTCATAGATGGACACTCATCCACTGAGCCACACAGGCCAGTTCCTTTGCCCATTTTAAATTGGTTTCTTGGTCTTTTTATTGTTAGACTGTTAGAGATCTTTATGTATTTTAGATACAGTCTCTTATTAGATATATAATTTGCAAATATTTGGGGGATGGGGTGTTTTTATTGTTTTTAATTTGTATTATAATTAAAAGAGCTTTGTTGAGGGCTTATTGAACTATTTCAGATTTTGAAATGCAGAAGTTGCTGGTTCAGTATTTTTTATCTATCATTTCATACCGAACTACCCCCAAATTGGTGGCCTCCTAAACAGTGAGTTATTTCTCCTGATTCTGTGCGTCAGGAATTGGGGCAATTGGAATTGCCTGTCTGGCATTCTGCTGCTCTCATGTGTGACCTGTCATGTAGCTGCATCTAGCTGGCAGCTTTGCTGAGCCAGATGGCCCATAAGGCTTCACTCGTGTGCCCGTTGGTTTTCCCTCCATGTAGTGGCTCTGGCAGCGTAGCCTGGGCTTCTTACTGCATGGCAGCTGGCTTCCATGAAGCAGGAAGTGGAAGCTGCCTGTCCTTGGAAGTCCTGGGACATTGCGTAGATAGAGCAGGCCCTGACTAAGGCCAGTGCAGGTTCAGGGAGTTGGAATTGCCTCCACCTTTTTTTTTTTTTTTTAAATATATTTTATTGATTTTTCACAGAGAGGAAGGGAGAGAGATAGAGAGTTAGAAACATCGATGAGAGAGAAACATCGATCAGCTGCCTCCTGCACACCTCCCACTGGGGATGTGCCCGCAACCCAGGTACATGCCCTTGACCGGAATCGAACCTGGGACCCTTCAGTCCGCAGGCCGACGCTCTATCCACTGAGCCAAACCGGTTCTGGCTGCCTCCACCTTTTGATGCGAGCAGCAGCGTGTGTGTGTACAGGAAGGCCAGTGATTGTCGGCAGCCCTCTTGGAGACTACCACAGAGACTCACAGCAGCTGGGGAATAAGCTTCTGTCCCAAAGTGGGCATCTGGCAGGCAGCAGCCCACTCACTGTCTTAGCCTTTGCCTTTCTGCAGCCCACATACCAGATCTTAACAGTTTGAGTCCCACATCTTCTTGGTTTGAGCGGGTTCTAAATCCCTAACTCTAAGACAAGGCCCTGTTTGGAAGAGAGATATGTATTAGAGGTGTTAGAAATTTTCTGTCCTTTTTACAGAGTCAGACATACTGTTGTCTGGTTCCCAGCTTTTTATTGCAGCTTAAGTTCCTCACGGAACCACATACTGTCAGTGTGGCCCTTCCTCACCAGTGGGAACTGGGGTGGGGTGGAGGAAGACTCTCTAGGTCAGATGGAACCCAGCATGTTTGTTACCTGTCTCTCCCACCTGAGACCCCATTAGAATGACTGTGAAAGAATTTAAAAGGTGGGAGGGACCTCAGAGGAGGGAAAAGGATGGGGAAGAGTGATTTCTCTGTCTTTCTGGAGTGGGAGGTGGAAGAGGCCGAAGAGAAGGGGTGACCTAACCTTGGAACCCTGGGGCAGTCCTGGAGAGGTTGGTGCCTTGTAGTAGAAGGCGCCATGACTTATCCTGGCTGGGGGCCGGGAATTCTCACACCTGGGGGGTTGGTCAGGATGTCAGTGCTCTGTAGATAGAGATTTAGGGATTGGAGATATGACAGCCCCAGCCTGGGAGAGATCGGAGGTGGAGTTTCAGATCCCGGGTCTCCTGTGGAAAAGAATGCTTGCAGCAGACCTGCAGCAAACCCCAGTGGTTCCTCAGTAACCTGGCCTTGGCAAGAATTTTGGACACGTGTTTAACCCGTAAGAAAGCCCCTTGGCAGCAGTGACTATGTCCTGTGCCCGTTTCTCCTGCCAAGTGGTCATATCCCTTCCTCTTTCCCTCTCAGGCCTCTTCACACTGGTCTAGTCTAGAGAGTCTCCACTCCACCGTGGAGCAGCCTCAGCCAGGAGCAGACCATGCCGGTGCCCCTGCTCTGGGCCAGGGAATGGTGCTGGGAATGCTGTGTGGTGCAATCTGCCCATCTGGCTCTGAGCCCTTGGTCCTGGTTCTATGTGAAGGGCTTTGGGGACATGCTCCTGAGCCCCACTTACTGTATATTATGTCTTAGTAAAAGACTCTGGTTGATTTTTTTTTTTTAATCCTCACCCAAGGATATGTTTATTGATCTTAGAGGGGAAGAGGGGAGGAGAGAGAAATAGAAACATCGATGTGAGAGAGAAATATCAGTGTGCCCTCACTGAGCATCGAACCCACAACCTAGGTATGTGCTCTGACCAGGAATGGAGACCGCAACCTTTTTAAAGATATTGCTCACCTTGCCTGGCCAATGTGGCTCAGTGGTGAGCATTGACCTATGAGCCAGGAGGTCATGGTTCCGTTCCTGGTCAGGGCACATGCCTGGGTTGCAGGCTTGGTCCCCAGCAGGGAGCTTGCAGGAAGCAGCTGATCAGTGATTCTCTCTCATCATTGATGTTTCTCTTTCCCTCTCACTTCCTCTAAAATCAATAAAAATATTTTAAAAAACTTAAAAAAAAAAGATATCACCCCCCCTTGCCCTGGCTGGTTTTTCTCTGTGGTTAAGAGCGTTGGCCCATGGATGGAGGGGTCTCAGGTTCGATTTCCAGTAAGGGCTCATACCTGGTTGCAGGTTCAATCCCCAGGCCCAGTTGGGGTATTTGTGGAGGCAACCAATCGAGATGTGTTTCTCTCATGTCAATGTTTTTCTCTCTCTCTCTCCCTCCCTCCTCCTTCCCTTCCATTCTCTCTAAAAATCAATGGACAAAATATCCTGGGGTGAGGATTAAAAAACACACATGGATATTGCCCACCTGAAAGATGGTCCAAGGTCCTAACGAGTCATCAGATATTGACCTCGCAAGCTCCCAGTCCTAGTCCTCTCCTACTTGGCCACCTTGTTTCCTGAGCTTCCTGTAGCCTCTTCCACACACACATCTTCACTGTTAGCCACGCCCCAAACTGCCCTCCTTCAAGGAGCAGCCTCAGTAGGTGGGCCACATGCAGGAGCCCTGACACCAGGGAGCCCCTCACTCCCAGCACATGGTCTTTCCTACCAGAAATCGGTGGGGCAGTGGGAAACTGGTAGTGTTGACAACGTCCTAAGTGCCCATTGCTCCAATAGAGACTCCCTCTTTCAGGACCTGCCTCCTTAGGTGTGCTTAGGACCACAGCTTAGCTTTTCCTCCCGGGCCTTCCCCCTCATAGTTTCCTCTGTTGATTTCCCCTGGCTGAAAAAAGGGATGGGGTGAAGTTTGGAGATAGATGAAGGATAATAAAGATTTACAAAGTGTGCTTATAGTTTTACATTCACCTTGAGACCACTTTCATTTTATTTCCTTTTCCCTGGAAATAGTCTTATGACAGGTTCACCGTCTGTCCCTGGGCTCACAGGTGTGTGTCCCGGGGCAGTACCACCACAGCGCTATGTCTGGTTCTAATTATCATCTCGCCAGTCTGCTGCCAAGTGGACGCCCACTCTCAGTGACTGAGGGGAGGAGGGTCATGTGAGCACCACAGGGCGTGGTGAAGGCTTTGCCCTTTTGGGGCTGCCTTGATGGAAGGATGGGCATTTTGAGAAGGGAAGGATGTACAGCTTATGTGAGATAAGATTTTAAGTCAGGCGTCCCCTTGTTCACTACAGGACAAACTCACATTAGTGATTTCCGCGGAACACCCGGTAGTGAGTGTCCTTGGTTGCAAAGAGTACAATTGGTGGAAGGCAGGCCCTGCTGAGCAGTTCCAGAAACACGCAGGGCAGCTGGGACAAAGAGGGCCCTCGGCCGTGGCCTTCACCTGCCCCCCTTGAGTGCCCTGTGTCCTCTCCCTGCCTGTGCAGTAAATTCAGATTAACAGGGATCTCCGCAAGCACAGCCAGGGGCAAACATCCAGATTTGCATGTAAGTGTGACGTCAGCAGTGAAAAAGCAACAGGCTGGGTATTAAAAGCGAAAGTACTTCGATACAAATAGTGCAGAGACAAAGGCGGCCCGCCCATGACTACTTCTGAAATGCCTTGTGACCTTAGGACAGCCTCTCGTCCCCACTGGACCTACTCTGCCCGCCGTGGAAAGAGGGGTGCCTGAGCTGGCGCTTGGCCCTCTCGGTTAGGTGTTTACAGCAAGGTGGAAGGAGCAGCAGTTTGAAGTCTTGTTTTTCTGTTTCTCGGTGCCTTTTGTTGCCGCCTGCAGCTGAGCACTGACAGCCGTCCTCTGAGAGCCAGATTCCAGAGGAGGCCCAGCTGGGCAGAGCGTGGGGTGGGCCTCAGCCCAGCAGCCTTTCAGGAAGAGCCCTCAGCTCCGTGGCTCAGGAGTGCAAGGGGGAGGGAAGGGGAGCACACGGCTTCACTTCTTCATCTGGGATTAAACTGCTTCCTGTTTTCACTTTTAGGAGGAATACCTTTCTCTTGTGGCCAGGCTCATTATCCATTTCCGAGACATTCGTAAGTAAAATTTTACATTTCTGGTTGTGATCGCTGTGAGAGGCTGACCCTGTCATGCGGTGGAGACTTACTTGGCCACAGTGCCTGAGTCAGAATGTCTGTGTAAAAGTGCCTGCTTTCTGGAAAGTTCTTCATTGCTTTGCATTTGATTCCATATTTCTCATCTCCCCAGAGACTCAGCCTGAAAAATGCTGATTTTGGCATAATGGAGATGTTAGCTTCAAAGTGGTTTAAACTGAACTGCTGTTTTTGCTTGTCCATTTAATCTTTTTTTAAAAAGACTGTTGGCCGTGATCGGGTGGCTCAGTTGGTTGGAATGTTGTCCGGACACTGAAAGGTTGCGGGTTTGATTTCTGGTCAGGGCACATACCTAGGTTCCGGGTTCAATCCCAAAGTCTGGGTGTGTATGGGAAGTGGCCGATCAATCAATATCTCTCTCTCCCTCACCCCTCTCCCCCGCATTCCCCCTCCCTCCCTCTTCCCCTCTCCCTCTCTCCCTCCATCCCTCTCTTCTTCTCCCCCTCTCTCCCTTCCTCTCTCTAAAATCAATAAACATATCCTCGGGTGAGGTTTAAAAAAAGAAACAATTCTTTAAAAAAGAAAAGGACTGTTGCTTTTATCTCCAGGCAGCTCTTCTTAAATAAGCAGTTTACTGTGGAACAGAAACTTCTTTCCCTAATAGTTGGTTTTATTGACCCATGGAGGCCTGACCTAAATGTGTGTTCCTGTTAGGCTGGAAGCTTCTGAGGCCAACTTCCTGCCTCGAGCTCCCTGCCGTAGTGAGGGACACCCAGGTCCTGCCACATTCCACCTCCTGATTCCCAGGGTCCTGCTGTGGTTGTCAGCCAGGCCTAGCAGCAGCCATGGCACTTCAGAAATGAGTGTCACTGCATCCCAGGGTCAGGGTTTTCTGTGTAGACACTGAGTGTTCCTGGATGGCTGTAATCTGTAAAGGAAACGGGCTGCGGGGGGGGGGGGGGGGTGGCAGGGCACTCTGTGGTTTCAGCCAACAGCGCCTCTTGCCTGCCTGCAGTTGTGTTTCCACGGGAGATGGGCTCCTGACATAGCCTGTCCTTGGAGTGTGCACTTGGCAAGTCCAGTCTCTGTCCCCCTGTGGTTGTAGAGGCAGCTACAGATTCAGTCTCAGTAATCCTGGGCTAAGGAAGAACCCCAGAGGTTTTGCTTCTTTCCACATGAACTAGCTTTTTACCAGGACAGCCAACAAGGTGAACTTCACCTGATTTCATTTTCTTGCTCTGTCTGGGAAGGTTCTATGGCTTCTAGAACAAGAGGAGATGGAAGTAGGAGCTTGGAGAACAAGCAGCCTGGATGAACCGTCCTGGTTTTTCCTGGCAAGGGACTCTGCTTGTCGGGGCTGGGCTGGGCTGTTCAGGAGGTGGCCCTGGCACGTTGGCACACACAGGCCTGTGGGCTAGGGTGTCCACAGCTGTCTCACTGGCGCCTCAGGAGAGGGTGGAACTGGTGCGGCAGTTCCCCGCCTGACCCTAGGGCAGTGATGGCGAACCTATGACACGCGTGTCATAGGTGACACGCGAACTCATTTTTTTGGTTGATTTTTCTTTGTTAAATGGCATTTAAATATATAAAATAAATATCAAAAATATAAGTCTTTGTTTTACTATGGTTGCAAATATCAAAAAATTTCTATATGTGACACGGCTCCAGAGTTAAGTTAGGGTTTTTCAAAATGCTGACACGCCGAGCTCAAAAGGTTCGCCATCACTGCCCTAGGGCCAGTTAGATCTGACTTCCAGCCAGGTTTGGCCAGCCTCAGTTTCTCTAGAAAATAGAGATGCTGCCTCACCGGCATAGGTTGAAAATGGAGGTGTCATGGAGTTCTCAGCACCATTCTGGGCCCATCATGGATCCTATAGCCTTCCTGTTTGTTGCTCAGGGCAGGAGCTGAGACTATGGCCCTAGGAAGGAAGGAGAGCTAGAGTAGGCCCAGAGTGAGCCTCTGCCTGGGGCAGTTCTTTAAGGCCCCAGGTTGACCCTGGGGGGTTCTGCACCCTCTTCTCCCAGGCCCCCTTGTGCGCCAGCGCTGCCAGGAATGGGACACATACACACGTGTGTGAGTGCGTGTGCACACACACAGACACACACAAACATACACTGAAGCTCTGAGGTATGTTTTATCTAGTTTCTAGGCAGGGTGAGCTCAGTTTTAGCAAATGACCTCTGGGCAAATGCATATAAACGGACTTACTGTGAAAATATGTGGTTATATAAAACGTTATTTATTTTGTTTTTGTTTTTTTTTTAAATATAGATAACAAGAAATCTCAAGCTTCTGTCAGTGGTAAGAATTTTTCCTTTTTGAATTCAAATTCTTCCCACCCTTGGATATGGGGCAGCAGGAATGATATTGTGGATGCCCCGTTTGCCTGGGGCTAAGCTGTTACTAGAGGACAAAGTTCAGAGCGACCTCTGGCTGGTCACGAGAATTGTGGAGCTGTGCCCCATACTCCCCATCCTTCCTCTTCCTGTGCCCATAAGATGCTGCTGCCCCACTGCATTTCACTTGGATACAGTTTTTGCCCAGCAAAAAGATTATAAAAACTCACATAGTTATTGAGACATTATCTAAAATTTTGCTCTGGGAGAGAACTATTATTGTATATTTAGTATAACAGCATGTAGTAGTTCTTAGAGAGTAGCTGTGAATTATCTTTCTTAAGTTACAAAGTTTCTTTGTAAGTTAAAAATTATCATTATTTTTTAATTTCAAGGCTTTATCACATAAGGGAGACCCTGACTGACAATTCAGCCTTGATTGATTTCACTGACCGAGCTGAGCTGCCAGTGAAGGAGTTGAGATCCAACATGGCCAACTAGACTCCCACCTGTCAAGAAGGGAGCTAGTCTCCCATGCTGTTTGTCTTATCGTAGGCCGCAGAGCTATAAATGCCAGATGCCCAGGCCTGCCTCAGATGAGCGAGCTGCACCTGTCCATGTGGGCCCTATCTCCCCTCGGGGTATCTCCATGTAGAGTGATTCTCAGCTAGCGGGGCGGTGGGATCAGAGTGCATGGCCAGGAGAACGGCTGGCCTCTTGGTATTGAAGCATAGGGCTCTGTGGCAGGGTGTCCAGGCCAGGCCACCCCTGTTTGCAGCTAGTCATCTGCCATAAGCCTACACTCATAAATGTGTGTGATGAGAGCTTCAGGCTCCTTGTCTTGCTTCAGCATTGTTCACCGAGCTGAGTCTGGAGACCTGGGGGCTTGGTGAGTGTCAGCAATGCTCCTTGGCGCTTTGTGGACCTTTCCCTCACTTAGCTTGGCCAAGTGATGGTGTGATGGCCCTGGGTATAGGAGTAGTGTCCTGAGAATGCTCCTCTGTGGGGGTTCTGGTATACAGGGAGCCATGTAATATCCCTGGAGAGCATCTGCCTTCACCTTCCTCCCCTCCGCCTGAGGCATTTCCGTGCGCCCCACCCCCACCCTTGTGCCCTTGTTTACTTGAAGAAGGGCCTTGTGTGCTCACCCAGCAGGAAAGGATTGTACAGCCAGGAGGGGTGGGGGCTGCTACCTTCCCCGAGGGCAAATTTGTCCTTCAATCTTAGGACCCTAGTACAGGCCCGACTAGGAGTGCTCCCTGCCCAGGAGGGCTCATGGTCCAGAGGCAATAATAAACACACAGGGCGCCCTGCCCCGGGCTGTGACCGGCAGTTAGGTCAGCATTTGGGAGGCTTCCAGGACTCTGACCAGTTGGGGCTTTGAGGCAGTAGAGCCTGGAGGCAGCAAGAAGTGGGTGCTCCATGAGGCCTCACAGCCTTCAGAGCCTCACCTGATTTCCGTGGGCACTTCCTGAGATGCTGTGCCTTTGTGTTCCCACAGACCCTATGAATGCCCTACAGAGCCTGACTGGCGGACCCGCTGCAGGAGCAGCCGGAATTGGCATGCCTTCTCGGGGCCCAGGACAGTCCCTAGGTGGGATGGGAGGCCTTGGTGCCATGGGGCAGCCAATGCCTCTCTCTGGACAGCCGCCCCCCGGCACCTCAGGGATGGCCCCTCATGGCATGGCTGTTGTGTCCACGGCAACTCCACAGAGTGAGTACCACAATTTTCAGAAAACCTGCCATTTTCTTCGGAAGCGGCATGCATTTTATTCCTTTGCTTAAGGTGGTTGGAGAAGCTCCAAGGAGCTCTGTCTTTTTATCTTTGTTGGTGTGATGAGAAAAGGCTCCAAGCCTTCTGTGGGCTACCAGGAGAGTTAAGTGACACTGAGGCCCTCTTCCTACCCCGGGGTGAGAGTGGAGGACTCGGAGGAGGTTGGAGTGATCTGGGGCTCCATCCAAGGGCTTGTATTTTGTAGCTGTAAGAGAAACAGTTATGTCTCAGGAGTGTTCTTGGTCATGAACAAGTGCTGTTAGCATCTCACAATCCCTAGACTGCCCCGCTCTCAGGAGCCATCTCTTCCAGTGCTGCCCTTGCCCTCTTTGCACTTCTCTGCAGCACACGGCCCCTTGTCTTCTGTACTCGGCTGCCCCTTCCAGGAGCTGGACTGTAGTGCAGGTCTTCCTTTCTTTCCAGGACCCCTCTTGATGGACCTTGGATAAACATTTACTTAGTACCTGGAATGTACTTCAGGACATCAAAGTGCTTCGACACTATTTTTCCTTAATAGAACATTTTTTTTAAAAAATATATTTTATTGATTTTTCACAGAGAGTAAGGGAGAGAGATAGAGAGCTAGAAACATCGACAATGATAATATCTTAGTACATCATCAAAACTGAGAAGTGAGCATGGGGACAGTGCTCAACTCAGGGAGACTATTCAGACATCATCGAACCTGGACCTCTCAGTCGGCAGGCCGACGCTCTATCCACTGAGCCAAACCGGTTTCGGCCTTAATAGAACATTTTATTTTTGGAATACTTGAGTCACAGGAAGTTGCAGAGTAGTGCAGAGTTCCCATGTACCCTTCACCCAGCTTCCCCAATGATAATATCTTAGTACATCATCAAAACTGAGAAGTGAGCATGGGGACAGTGCTCAACTCAGGGAGACTATTCAGACGTCAGCAGTTCCTATATGCATTCTTGTGCATGCACTTACATGTGTGTAGTTCTATGAGATTTTATCATATGTGGAATTGAGTAACCATCAGCACTGTCAGCATGCAGAACTGTTCCATCACCACCAACAAGTTGTTGTATATCTCTTTTTTTAAATTATTTTTTTATTGATTTTTAGAGTGAGAGGAAGTGAGAGGGATAGAGTGATAGAAACTTCGATGAGAGAGACACAATCAGCTGCATCCTGCACACCCCCTACTGGGGATCAAGCACACAACCCTGGCATGTGCCCTGCCTGGGAATCAAACCGTGACTCCCTGGTTCATAGGTTGTCGCTTAACCTATGTCTCTCAGCTGGGCTATCGTATACCTTTTTTTTTTTTTAATGTATTTTATTGATTTTAGAGAGGAAGGGAGAGGGAGAGAGAGATAAAAACATCAATGATGGGAGAGAATCATTGATTTGCTGCCTCCTGTATGCCCCCTACTGGGTATTGAGCCTGCAACTTGGGCATGTGCCCTTGACCAGAATTGAACCCGGTACCCTTCAGTATGCAGTCTGACACTCTATCTCAGTGATTCCCAAAGTGGGCACTACCACCCCCTGGTGGGCGCTGCAGCGATCCAGGGGGGGGTGGTGATGGCTACAGGTGCATTTGTTTTAACTTTTTTTGTATTACCTTTCTATTCTGAGTTCAATAAATAGTTTCATAGTTTCAAACTTCAATGTTTCGAATTTACACCTTTCTTTACTATATTTTACGAAAAAGGTAGAAACATTAATACATATATCTTTCTGTTTAATTGCTATTAAAATTTTAAAAAAATTAATTTCCAGGGGGCGCTGAGTAATATTTTTTCTGGAAAGGGGGAGGTAGGCCAAATAAGTTTGGGAACCACTGCTCTATCTGCTGAGCCAACCTGGCTAGGGCTGTTGTATACCTTCTAATAATCACACATGCCCTCCAACCCTAAGCCCTGGCAGTCACTGATCTGTTCTCTATAATTGTATCACTTTGCCAGTGTTTTATCAGTGGCATCATATAATGTCTGACTTTTTGAGATTGGCTCTTTTTACTCAGCATAATGCCCTTGAGATCCTCCAAGTTGTATTAGTCATTCACTCCTCTTCATTGCTGAGTAGTATTCCACGAGTGTCCCAAGGACTGAGTGTGCTCAGTTTACTTATGCATTCACCCTAGAAGGATGTTTGGGTTGTTTCCAGTTTGGGGCGGTTATACATAAAGCTGCTGTGAACACTTGTGTGTGGGCTGTGGTGTTTCAATGTATTTTTGTTGTGTGTCCCTCATAGTAACCTATGAAGAGGGCAGTGCCATTGCCTCTGCTTTCCCCAGAAGGTAGCATGACCTATAGCTGGGGTCACACCCAGGCTGCCTGACCTGAGCGCCCTGTTCTTTGTTGGATTTACTGTATTAGCATTGCCTTGCTCTTCTCAGATGGCACATGTGTTCTCATTCTCACACTCCTGCACTGGAATCTTCCCTCCCCAGCCATCCTCTTCCTCCTCAGGTCTTCATTCTCTTCTTACTGATATATTGCCATCAGACTCTTAGGTCTTCACTTGGTTCTTCATCTTGAGCTCCTTTGTCCCCCTTTGTCATACCAGCACACCTGATACACACACGGGATAGCTTATGGAAGAATGTATAAGAGAGGTACCGGCCCTGGCTCCTTTTTACGTTATACTCTGGTGTACTGGTTGAGGTTTTTGGTGTGTTTTTTTTTTTTATCACAAACTTATATTTTATAATAAAAAATAGTTTTAAAATGTGTGAGTTGAGAATGCTCCTATCTATGATTTGTCTTACAGTCTCATACCTAAGACTGTCAGAAGTTCAGTGGCAAAAGCTTTCGTAGCTTCCCCAATCTGACCTTGACCCACATCCTGTTTTCAGCTTCGGAAGGACCTGGTCTCCTGTGTGGCACTAGAGGAAGTTTGAAGTGGGCTCTCTACTTTCATGTCCTGCTGCTGCCTCTGTCAGAGACCTTCCCTCCCTACCTTTGACCTCTTGCCTGCCTGGTCTACCTGAAATATGTGTCATGGCCCAATGGGCATTTGCTCTCCCTTTCTAACATTTTTTCCAAATGCCACTGTGTGATTAAGGCCACTTCAAGCCATAATCCCAGAGGGCAGGGCCTTAGAGGTTTTGCCAGGGTTCTCAAAGGACAGTCTAGGGCACACTGTGATAGTCTCCAAGTGACCCAGGTTAGTCATAAGAAACACAAACTCTGACTGTGGGTAAGGCTGTGGGCTGGGGTACAGGGTTTTAGCGAGACTTACTTGTCCCTCTGAACATTTTTGTTCCTCAATGAATTTTGTATCATGTGCATGTAAAAACCGACTTTAAAAATCAGTCCTATTTCTGGCTGTTTGACAGACTGGGTGCTGAGGAACCCTCCTTCTTCTGGATAACTAGATCCTGGGTAGGCTGCATTTTGGATTGCTCGGCTGGCAGAAGTAGAGGATGCTCTTTCCCTTGCTGTGCCCTGGCTCACTGCAAGATAGGAAAAGCAAGCTTTGGGGTCCCTCCATCCAGCAGGATTTGTGCTAGGGTCCTTGGCATCCCTAGCACCCCCAGAAGCAAGGGCAGATTGGAGGAGAATGCTTCCAAGATTAGTACTGTTGGAATTGCAGTTAAGGTCAAGCATTGAGCACACAGTCAAAGATCAGTAGGTATGAAAGGAAGCAAAGGCACCATGAGGAAGAACAGAAACAATAAACAGATGTGGAAATCCCCAGGGACCACACACATAGCAATTGTTAGGTATGGGCTTGGCATGCTAAAAGAATAAAGGATGGAATCCCAAATGAACAAGCACTGTGATACTACCTGGAATGACCACGCCGATTTGAAAAGGAACCAAATAGAACTTTTAGAAGCTGAGAAATAAAATTCATGAAAGAAAAAGCATGGATGAATAAACAGTGCATTAGATATAGCTGAAGAAAGAATTTGTGAACTAGAGCTACATTTGAAGAAATTCTGTAGAATGTAGCCCAGAGAAGCAGACATGGAAAATAGGAGGGTAAGAAATGTAGAGGATAAAATCAGAAAGTCTAATATCTAATAAAAGGACCAAGTGGAGAGAATGGAAGCACAGTAGTATGTGAGGAGATGATGGCTTAGAAAAGCTCAGCACACCCACACCGGTTAAATAAAGCATCCATGTCTTAACCTGTTGTGAAACAGAATACCAAAGGCCAGAAGAATCTCTTAAAAATGGCCAGTTTCTGTAAGGAGCAAGAAGTCGACTCAGCAGACTCAGTGACGGAGTCAAGAAGATAAGAGGTGGTTAGAGTGCTGAGAATAGAGCTGCCAACCACAGTTATGTGCCAGTAAAACTTCCAAGGAATAGGAGGAAACAGACATTTTTAGATAAATAAAGCCTAAGGAACCTTCATTAAAAGGTTTTTAAGGACATACTTTTATTTGCTCACCATTTCCTCTTCTCAGACCATCCTTCTCAACATGCCAGGTGTAAGATGGGAGAAGAAATATTTTTCATGTAAGGTAGTGAATCTAAACCAGTAATTCTCAATGATTTTGCACCCTAGGGAACATTTGGCAATGTCTACAGACCATTTTGATGTCACAACTGTGAGGGTGCGATTGGCATCCAGTGGGTAGAAGCCAGAGATGCTGCTAAACACCTTACATGCACAGGACAGCCCCCCCATAACACAGGATTATCTGGCTCAAATTTCAGTAAGGATAAGGTTGAGAATTCTTGGTGTAAACAAATATTACCTCTATAAAATAATAATATTCAGAGCTAACCTCCATATGGACCTGCTACATTCCAAGCACTATTTTGAGTATTCTACCTATAATAGGTTATTTATTAGTCCAGTGTAGGAAACTGAGGCATAGAACAGTGACAGAGTTGGGATTTGAGTCAGGGTAGTCTGGGTCAGAGGCTGTACCCCTAGTCATTATTCTATCCTGATTCTTATAAGTCTGCTGTGTGGCCATAAGTTGATAAACAGGGACCAAAATAAATGGAAGTCAGAGGGGGGAATATATCAAGGAAATCAGGTCTATTATGGGCACATAAAACCTACTTTAAAAAATAGGGTTTGCCCTGGCCAGTGTGATTCAGTTGGTTGGGCGGCATCCTGTGTACCGAAAGGCTGTTGCTTCGATTCCGGTCAGGGCACATGCCTGGGTTGTGGGCTCAATCCCCCGTAGGGGGCATGCAGGAGGCAGATGATCGCTGCCTCACTCACATCAATGTTTCTCTCTCTCCCTTTCCCTACCTCTCTTAAAAAAAAAAATAGAGAAGGTTCTCAGATCTTTGTATTTGGAAAAGAGATTAAAATATGCCTAAACTTTATACTTTATTTAAGTGTACATGAACAGCCCTGGCTGGGGAGCTCAGTTGGTTGGAGTGTCATCCCGATACACCAAGGTTGCAGGTTCAGTTACCAGTCAAGGCATATACAAGAAGCAACCAATAAATGCGTAAATAAGTGGAACAACTAATGGATCTCTCTCTCTCCCTCCCTCCCTTCCTCCCTCCCCCTCTCTCCCTCCCTCCCTCCCTTCCTCCCTCTCCCTCTCTCCCTCCCTCCCTCCCTCTTTCTTTCTCCCTCTCTCCCTCTCTCCTTCTCTCCCTCCCTCCCCTTTTCTTTCTCTCTTTAAAGTAAATTTTAAAGTTGTTACAGCCTGGATGATATTCAGAGAATTATGCTGAATGAAAAAAACTAACCATACTGTATGGTCCCACTTATGTAACGTTTTTTAAATGGCAACATTTCAGAAATGGAGGACACCTTAGTTGTTGCCATGGGTGGAAGGATGGGGTTGCTGAAGCAGATGGCACTCCTAGGGATCCCTGTGGTGTTGGAATTGTTCAGTATTTTGACTGTAATCTACTCAGTTGAGAAAATTGTATAGAAGTTAATATTTACACCTGCACAGATGAGCACATATTCTGGCTGTGTTATTCTCTTATAATTTCACAAAATGGTACCATAGGTAGAAGCTGGTCAAAGTATACAATGGATCTCTCTCCATATATTTTTTTAATTTTATAACAGCTTTATTTAGATATAATTCACATACCATATAGTTCTCCCATTTAAAGTGAAACCTTTGGTAGTTTTTAGTATATTCAGAGAGTTGTGCAACCATCACTCCAATCAATTTTAGAACCTTTTCATTACTCCAAAAGAAACTGCTCCATAGAAAATCTTATAAACGGTTGCTCATATCAGCATTATTATAATAGCCCCAAAGTGGAAACAACCCAAATGTCCATAGCTGATGAATGGATAAACCAAATGTGGAAAATCCGTATAGTGAAGTGGTTTCCAATCTTTTTTTGGCCATGCCCTACCTAAGCATCTCTAAAATACTGATGCCTCTCTCCCCACCCCCCTTAACATATAATTCTTATTCAAAAAATGAACTCCTATTCACGTGGAGGAAGCCTAAAAGGCCATTAACTTGGTCTAAACAAGCTCCCAAAGAACATGACATCCATGAAAGAGAAAAATAAAAGAATGAAAGTTGAAGTACTGAGGAAGAAATCCCTAAGAAATAGTTAAAAAACTAGAGGCCTGGTGCATGAATTTGTGCACAGGTGAGGTCCAGCCAGCCCACCCGGTTTGGGCCGGCAGGGGGGAGGGGCTGTAGGTGGTTGACAGGCCGGCCCCACCCCCTGGTCGAACTCATGGTTGAACTTCTGGTCGAGGGGACAATTTGCATATTAGCCTTTTATTATATAGGATATAGGATAATAATAAGCCTGGCCAGCATGGCGCAGTGGTTGAGCATTGACCTATGAACCAGGAGGTCATGGTTTGATTCCCAGTTGGGGCACATGCCCAGGTTGTGGACTTGATCCCCAGTGTGGGGCAGCCAGGAGGCAGCCAATCCATGATTCGTTCTCACCATTGATGTTTCTGGCTCTCTTTCCCTTTCACTCTCTGAAATCAATAAAAATCTTTTTAAAATAATAATAATATGAAGTGATATGAAAAAATAGCAAGTAAAGTTTCAAAACATAATAGAGAACTGAAATGCATAAATATGTCACAATATATATTTATATACTGTATATGAGGCCCCTAGAACCATAAGAAATGCAAAAAAATTCACTGTTATTAACTCATTCTCGAATTGCGCCCCCTGTGGGGTATAATGGGAACCACTAGTATAATGGAATCCTATTTGGCAATAAAAATAAATGAAATATTGATATGTGCTACATCATGGGTGAACCTTGTAAATATTATGCTAAGCGAAAGAAGCCCATCAAAAAAGACCACATATTGTGAGATTCCATTAATTTGAAATGTCCAGAATGGACGAAGCCATAAAGACAGAAAGTAGATTGGTAGTTACCAGAGGCTGGGCTTCTTGGCTATCCAAAAGACTTAGCTCTTTTCTTTTTTCTTTATTATTATAGAACAATTCATAATAGTAAGTTTCATAATCCACACAAATGTTGCTCCCATCACATATGTTCAATCCCAGCAGCAGGTGGGGCAGCAGATGGTCTTACCACCCTCCCTTTCTGCACAGCCCTGGGCAATGGGCTCTGCTGGCCTGGTACAGCTGGGCCTGATTCCGGGTCTGTCTCCAGCCCAGCTGCAGCTCCAGCAGGTGGCGTTGCAGCAGCAGCAACAGCAGCAGCAGCAGTTCCAGCAGCAGCAGGCGGCATTGCAGCAGCAGCAGCAGCAGCAGTTCCAGGCTCAGCAGAATGCCATGCAGCAGCAGTTCCAGGCAGTGGTGCAGCAGCAGCAGCAGCAGCTCCAGCAGCAGCAGCAGCAACAGCAGCACCTGCTTAAATTGCACCATCAAAACCAGCAACAGGTACCAGGTGCTCTTGTTCCTGTACTTGGCCTCCCTCCTGTGGTGTTGGAGCTCTGGACACGCACCAGCCATTGTGATGGGTATAGGGACTCAGAGCCAGTAGTGGATCCTCCTGACCCCTGGTGTCTCAGCTTCCTTCTTCATGAGCTTCCCACAGAACCTAGAACATGGAGGAAAAATAGGCCCTGACTTGCTAGGAGGTAATCTGATCTCACAAGACTGGCCTCTCTGCCAGACTTGGGTGTCTAGCTGCAGACCTACTACGTGCTGGGGGCTGACTCAGTGGAGGCTCTGGGTGCAAGCGATTCATATAAGAGTTAACTGAATCAAGAAGTGAGACGAACTCTCCAAGATGCATGAATGCTTGAGCCATCACGTGGGCTTGTTTGGTGCCTGAACACAGCACTAATCGACCTACATCTAGTGTCCTACAGGGTCATGGCAATGTCACATTAGAAGCCCTGTTCCTAAGAAAACAGTCACCCCACCCCCCATGGTTTACAGTCAGCATCAGACATGTTAAGCATCTATTGTTAGGTCTGCTCTTGGCTGAGGGAGGGAATCCCTGAGGGGACCTTCACTTTTCTACCTCCTCCAGGCCTTGGCTCGCTGACTCCTTTTCTCAGTGGCCACCCTCTCAGAACCGACAGTGAGTCTTCAGTCCCACCTTTCATCTTCATCCTGAAAATCAGACATTGGCCATCTTCGTGAGGCTGGTACTATTGACCAGTGTAGGGACCTTGGAGATTTGAGTCACCTGAGCGTTTATCCCAGCCTCCATAGGACTGCATCCATATGTTACTCTTACTAAACTCTCCCAATATTTCCCTTGAATCTTCCATCCTCTCAGGTCTAGGGGTAGACCAGCCAGCGTCTGATGGCCAGGGCACAAGTGCACTCCTGGTGTTTCCTCAGTGTTCTCTGTGGGAAGTGCTCCCTCTGCCCCGTGTGAGGACAGCCCAGGCAGGCTTCCTGGGGCAAGGCTGGCACAGGGCCCAGAGGCCAATGGGGTGACGGAGTGCTACTTGTTCTGCCCCTAGATACAGCAGCAGCAGCAGCTGCAGAGGATGGCACAGTTGCAGCTGCAGCAACAGCAGCAGCAGCAGGCTTTGCAGGCCCAGCCGCCAATGCAGCAGCCACCAATGCAGCAGCCACAGCCTCCCCCCTCCCAGGCCCTGCCCCAGCAGCTGCAGCAGATGCATCACCCACAGCACCACCAGCCACAGCCACAGCCTCAGCAACCACCAGTGGCTCAGAACCAACCATCACAGCTCCCGCCACAGTCACAGACCCAGCCTTTGGTGTCGCAGGCTCCGGCCCTACCTGGACAGATGCTATACCCCCAACCTCCGCTGAAGCTTGTGAGTACCCATGACTTGTGGTAGGCCGTGGCTCTTCTCTGGTATCACATGAAGCTTGTGGCCATTAGCAGTTTCTGAAGCTCTTTGGCTATAGATGGCATGTCCTCTCTTCAAGCAATGGGACTCAGGTGACCCTTTCCCATGTTGACCTTCACGTCTGGCTCAGCGAGGGAGTGTGCATTCCAAGAGCTGCTGCAGCCTGCACTGGGGGTGCCTGCTGCAGGAGTAGCAGTTTGTCTTCCAAGCAGCATGGCTGATTGTGGTGGTGGCCGTGGCCATTTTAAAATTATGGATGATTTTAGGATTGTTGATGACTAGATAGGTGACAGCACGTGCATTCTCACTGTGGGAAGGACCTGTCACCTCCATTAAGCATCCATGGTGGTTTGCTACTTGCTCAGAGTTTCTGATCAAAGATCCCTGCCATTACCATATTTTTGAGGAGGGTATTAATATAAAATGTTACTTTCAGTCTTATTATGCATCTCTGTAGAAAGCAAAAATCCAGTCAGTGACGTTTACACAGAGGACAGAATATTGCCACTAAGTTAGGAGTAGCTACATCAAGGCGCCATTTTTATGTGTGGGGTTTTTTTGCTCGTTTCCTTGGTTTTCATGGCCTTTTCTATGTGTGACTCATTGAATGGAGTAAAGATAGACCATGCCTGAATTGAGTGGCAAGTGAATAGAAGGCTCACAGGAGCAGGCTGAAAGGCTGGGGATAGTTGGGAGAAGCAGGTATTAGTAGACCTGCCACCTAGGAGCCATCCTTCTGCTGGCTGGCCATCCACTCTGGTTTCTTTTGAGGCATCAGGGCTCTGAGTGGGACTCTTATAGACTGTCAGTGTGCTTGGGCCCGAGGTTGAGAAGACTGGGCTGTGTGGTTGGAGCCATTGCTTTGTTTGCAGTGATAGATGGTGATGACATCTCAGTGGGAAAGCTGTACTTCTCACCAGCGTTAGAGGAAGTGGGACTCCACTGTGCAACTCAAAGACAGGCTGGTGTGGGACATTGCTCATGAGCTAAAGGATAAGGAACGGCCATTAAGGTGACATAATAACCAGTGAAGACATAACGATCCCATCCTCCTCATGAGAAGCTTCGAACGTCAAAGCTCCCCCAGAAGTAGTGGGTGCTCTGCTCTCCGTGGCTCCAAATCGAATTCTCCCTTCCTCCCCCAGGTCCGAGCTCCGATGGTGGTGCAGCAGCCCCAGGTGCAGCCACCGGTGCAGCAGCAGACAGCGCCGACAGCTCAGGCCCCCCAGATAGTGGGTTCTGGAGTCCAGGTGAGGGCCATCAGAGCCAAGGGCTTCTGTAGTTAGCAGGTGCATGTCCACTTGCGAATGGAGCTGGATTTCCAGCGCTCTGTGGCGAGGGTCCTGGTTGGATCAGGGCCAGGTTGGTAAAGCGTGGGTCTTCTCTTCCCTGGCACTTTGCGAGATGATGGCTTTCCTGGAGCTGGTCCCTGGAGTCATGAGGTAGCCAGCTCTGCTTGATGATATCTGAGTCCCCCAGCTGCATAGTGCACGTGCCATTCCCACCTCTCCTCTGATGTCCTTTTTCTTACCTCTTTCCTTCTTAGACCACTCAGTGGAGAGGGGAGTGTTGTAGTCTCATGCTTGCCTCAACTCTGAGTACGGGGCTAGCAGGGGGTGGACAGTAGAAAGAGCGTGGGAATGGTGGCATCTGGTTCCAGTTGACAGCGCAGGCTTGTGCTGAGGTCCCTGCCAGGCTGACTTCTGGGGCTTACTCCTGTGTTGGGAAGTGTGGCCGAGGCCCACCACGTTCACCCTCTGGGTATTGGATATTGATGGATGGAGGAGGCCTTACCCTGCCTTTTCGTAGTAGAGACCAGATTCTTGTTGGTTTCTGGGGGTTGGAGCTTGGCCCTGTGACTTCTCCATGGACACCCTCCCTTGCCCTCGTGCTGGTGCTGAGGTGGGGGGACATCCAGTCTGGGGCCTCAGTTCTTCCTGTCTCCACCCAGTGGTAAGAGCACAATAGTCCAGCTCAGAAGAGTGTTGGCTTTAGATGGAGCAGATATGCTAGTTGATGTGAGGCTACAGCCACCCGGTGCCACACTGCACTCCTGCCCCGCTCGTTATCCGTGAGTGTGCAGGGCCACAGGTCGAGCACTTCTGGGATTCGGTGTGTTCCCTTAGTGTCAGATGACATTTCCCTGTGGGGGACGCTCAGAAACAGTCCTTCCTGGTCCCAGCTGCGTGGCTGGAGTTGTGGGAAGCTGCCTGAGGAGAAGCTAGCCGAAGGGAGGAACCTGCGGTGTTTCGATGCAGCTGAGCCAGCCTAGCAGCCTCTGGGCTCACTGCACCAAATGACCTGGGCCCAGAGTTCCCCACGTCACCAGCGTGCCCAGACATGGTCCTATGTGAGACACACGATGGACTTCGTGTCTGTAGCGGGGACGGGGGCTGGCTGCCCTGTGTGACGAGGTTGGAGTCCATCTCTGCTGCCACTGCTGTGTGTCCTGTGCTTGTTCTCAGGCTTCCTCGGGCTCCCTCTTCTTGGTGTCTCATGCAGAGAAGGAGGTGCATGGTCAGAACCAGGGCCCACCCAGTCCACAGAAGCCACTGCCCTTGTCACAAAGTGACCCTCCCTCCTCTATCCCAGGACCATTCTTAATGGAAACTTCTGGTTCTCGGGTCCAGTCTAGTAGGAGAGTGAGAAGCTTGGCATTTTGTACCTTGCACTGGGCCATCCTGAAGCAGAACTTCTCTCTCCATCCCATTTATCGGTGTTTGGGAATGAGCTGCCATAGAAAGGTTGATGTCTTCCGACCGAGGTCTGGCTCCATCCTGCTGGTTTATTCCTAGGCTTCTTGCTCAAGGAAGTGTACTCCCTGTCGCTTCCCTGGCACCTCACCACCTTCCAGAAGCAGGCGTGGTTGTTTGTGCTCAGTACCCTGCATGAGCCCGTGTGCAGCTCTGCTTTTCCCAGCAGTTACTCTGCCCTTTGCTTCTGCTGGAGGTCCCAGCCCAGCCAGCTCGGTCCCCTCTAGAGTAACCTTGATTTGTAACCTTCTTTACCTCCAGGTGGAGGCACAAGGCTGCTGGCAGGCAACGCTCAGAGGGGACGGGGCCTCTTCTTTTCAGGAGGGGGACTCGTAGCTGGGGTGGATGAAGTACTTGAGTACTTGTGGGTGGGTTTGGTTTTATAAAGAATGAGCCTTCAGGTTTTCTTTTAGGAGCAGTGTCACCTCATTCCTGTGTGTCACAGACCAGCGTCGGGTAGGGTGGGTGAGAGGCCTCACCCTGCCCTGTGTGGCCCATGGTGGGATTCCCGGGTGCTGGCGGCACAGGAAGCGTTCTTGAAGCCCAGGTGTGCGAGTGCCTGTGTGTGCCGTGCCTCAGCCCAGATGCAGAACCTTGGCAGGCAGTCCCCTGCCTCTGATCTGCTGGTTCACCTCTGGGCTCCTGGCAGGCAGTGCAGTTTTGTGGAGCCCGGTTGGCTGGCATCCCTGCATTCTATTAGCAGCGGTGTCCCCATGGTGGACAAGCCTTCCTGGGAGAATCTGTGGATTCACAGCCTTCCTTTGCAACCTGGACAAGACAAGGCTAGAGATACTTGGACCCCAAAACTTTAAATATATGTGGTGACTGTAGAATGTGGGTAGTTAAGAGAACTATAAATAAGGGAAACATTTCAGACTAGAAGAAACAGTTTGATATCTTTTCTTTCCAGTTCTCACGTAGTGGAGGTCATAGGACATACATAGGATTTTGTGTATGGCTATTACATTACAATAGAGGTAAAACGTTTTATAATTAAATATCTCAGTCAACATTATTCTATTGGTAGTGTTCCTTTTATGAATATATCCTGCTGTCCTTAATTTATGTACTGTTCTTGGATCCTGAGATTATTTTCATTTTTTTACTGTTACCAGGGATGCATGTCTAATGCATGGCTGGGTTTTAGATTGTTTCCTGATGCTTCCCAGAAGTGAGTTACTGGGTCACTTTGGTGCCCCTGAATTGTGTCAGCCAGTCGTCTACTAGGGGTTTAAAGATGCAAGCTAGTACTCCTATGTGGTGCCCGTGCATTTGACATTAGGACATGGTGACCACGTGTCGCTGCTTTACATATGTGAACTGCTGCTCACAGGGGCAAGTGCTGGTTCTGTGAAAGAAGTGCTGAGACTGGGCTTGAGCTGGTAGCCCTCCATGCCTTGTCTCTCAACTCTGTCCCCTCAGCACAGAAAAGAGGTGCCTTGTCGAACACTCCATGGTGGTGTGGCCGGATGAGTGGCCAGGGCTCAACCAGGGGCTGAGTTTGGTGTGTGGTGTGCTACGAAAATTGGTGTGCCCTGTTATGTAGATGCTTGGTTCTCGTATGGAATGTTATTTGTGTAAACGAGAAAGTTGATGTCATTGTCACTACAGTGGGACTTACTAGGTTACACAGGGTAGCTGCACTAGCTTCTGTTTCTTTCATAAATGTTATCTGTGACTGCAGATAAAACCAGAACAGAATGTGTCTCCATTTCCAAACAGTCCCTATGTTTTTATCTTTCAACATTCTGTTTTTTGGTATATGGAAACTTAATTATAACTTTTAAAAAATCTTTGTGGAAAGTATTACATAGGTCCTCCTTTTCCCCTCCTTAATCTCTTCCAGTCGCTCCCATCCTCCCCCAGGCCCTCACCACCTCATTGTCTGTGTCCATGGGTTATGCATATATGCATACAGGTTCATTCCCACTCACCCCTCCCCTGCCTTCCCTCGGAGTTCAACAGTCTTAATTATAACTTTCAAGTTACAAAAGAATTATCATCAGAGATACTTCCCTGTCCTAGCCAGTTTTTCTCAGTGGATAGGACATCGGCCTGGACTGAAGGGTCCCAGGTTTGATTCTGGTGAAGGGCATGTACCTCGGTTGCAGGCTCGATCCCTGACCCCGGTCGGACAGGTGTGGGAGGCAACCAATTGACGTGTCTCTCACATTGATGTTTCTCTCTGTCTCTCCCCTTCTCTTCCACTCTCTCTAAAAAGCAATGAAAAAATATCCTCGGGTGAAGATTTAAAAAAAAAATAGATACTTCCCTGATGTGCCGCCCTGTATGGACGCTCTCTGTCCTCCTTCCAGGCCCTCCTGCCTAGTGACCATGGAGGAGCCATGCCCGCAGCCCACAGCCTTAAGGATGGAGCTTGAATTCCTTTCTGGGTGGATGTGTGTTGGGAGGTAAAGAAATGTGGTCACTCAGCAGAATGGGAGAGTGAGTTGCTGGGTGTTTGCTGCCTGGGTCATCTGATCTTGTAAACACCACTGCTGTGTTTTCATTAGAATTTGTGGTTAAAAGAAAATGAGCTTTTCCTCCCAGGATTTCTCAGTTACAAGAAAACCAGTCAGCAGCAAATTAGATTTAAGCATCCATTCCTTATTACTTTCATTTCTTCATGGAAAAAATTTGCAATTCTCTTGTACCACCTGACTTACTTCCAGATCTTTCTCCCTCTGGCAAGAACACTTTTTAGTGGCCACTGACCCTAATGTGCAACCCATTGGTGGTTGTAAATGGACACCGTTTACTATTACCCCCATCTGCCCATGGGCTGAGAGCCGAACCCAGGACAGAGCTGCTTTTGGCCCCACCCTGGGCTTGGGGAGTAGGAGTCATGTTTCCCCGAGGCTTCCTGTCCTCACACCCTCCCCAACATCCCACTTTGTGTTTTAACTGGGTGGTGAGCGGTGGGCTCTTCAGGACCGCGCTCGTGTTTGGCAGACACCAGAATGCCTTCCTCGCCCCCCACCCCCAGGGAGTTCTTTTGTTGGGGTGGCTGCAGAAATGTCTTCGCCCAGCCCAGTGGGACGGCTGCCCCATTCCCATCGCTATTGGAAGGCTCAGGTTGGAACCTGCTACTGCTTGTGTCACCCCCAGCTTGCGGTGCCTGCTGCATGTGACCCGTGAATGTGAGTGTGGAACACAGTTGTGATGCCAGAGATCTCCCCTCAGCCCTTTCCCCTGCTTCTGAGCTCTGTCCTGGCACCACCTCGCCGCATAGACTGAATCGCCATCAGTGCCGCTTCGCTTCAGTCTCATGGACTGGCCCACACCCTCGTGGGACAGATGTTTTTCCCCCCATGGTTCACCCCTCTTCCTTTCCGAGGGGCTGAGTTGTTATAGCTTGGTTTCACCTGATAAGTTGGGAGTGCATCCAGGCCTGTTCTCCATCCCCAACTCCGAGCCCAGAGTGAGAATGACCGGGCCTCAGGAGGCCACTGGTTCCCGGCAGTGCAAGCCAGGCCTTGACCTACGACATGCTGCCCCGATGTTCTCAGAAGCATAAGTTGATGAGGGGAGTGGTCCCAGGACAGGCTGGAATTCTGGAATTTGGAATCATCTTGTATGTTTAAGGACAGACCTGACCCATGTCCCTGGGGAGGCATACCTCCTCGTGAGCTCGAGGCTTTAAGCTGAGGCCCAGGCTCCCCTTGCCCACCTCTCCCTGGTTTTAGTGATAAACTGGTTCCCCGGTAGAAACTTAACCGCCTGGAGGAGACAAGGACAGTTTGAGTGCAGGGGAGGTGGTTGCATAAGGCAGTATCCTATTGGGAAGGAAAGGTGAGCTGGTTTAATGACAGCCGACTTCTGACCAGCTTTGGCGGAGCGCACTCTCTCAGAGCCTGTCCCAGGAGCTCGGTCTCCTAAAAACACCCTTTGGCCATTGAGGTCTGGCTTTGAAGGCTCTGTGGGCGCATCAGCAGGTCAGAGGCTCGAGGAAGGAGTGCATCCAACACAATAGAAAGGTCTGGAGGCAGCATTCTTGGCGGCTCCTCTAGATTCCTGATGCCTAGATGGGCCTCCATGCTGCGGGCTTGAACATGTAGGCCGGACTGCCTCTAGCCCCTCAAGGCCCCTCACCCTTGTCATGGAGCTACTTGTCACGGAGGCTGCACACCCCTCTCCACCTGCCCTGCACTGAGTTTCTTTGTTGCGATCACCTTGTCTGTTGTCCCTCTGTCCTCAAGATGATCGCCGAAGCCTTGGCCCAAGGCGGGATGCAAGTAAGAGCCCGGTTCCCGCCCACCACCGCTGTGTCTGCCGTCCAGTCAAGCTCCATCCCTTTGGGCAGAGAGCCCTCAGCACAGGTATTTACGGGGCGGTGCCCAGGGCTCCTGGGAAGCTTGGGGTTCTCTGAGCGCCTTTGTGAGACACACTGTAATCTCTGTGACTTCCTTCACAGTGGCTCTCAGAGTACCTAACCAAGCTTACATGAGGCCAAACCCGGCTTGTTTCTTGAGGGGATGTGAGTAAATATCTGGGCTTATTTTTATTTTAATATTTTGGATAGTTCTGATGTTTTCATTTTCTAGAGAATGTGGGAGTAAATATCTTTTAAAAATGTTACTGTTGCCCTAGCTGGTTTGGCGCAGTGGATAGAGTGTTGGCCTGTGGACTGAAGGGTCCCAGGTTTGATTCCAGTCAAGGGTCATGCCTGGATTGCGGGCTTGATTCCCCATTAGCGGGTGTGCAGAAGGCAGCGATCATTAATTCTCTCTCCTCATTGATGTTTCTCTCTCTCCCTCTCCTTTCCTCTCTGAAATCAGTAAAAATAAATATTTTTTAAAATGTTAGTGTTCAGTGGTTGAGCGTCATCCTATGTATGAACCAGGAGATCATGGTTCAATTTCCAGTCAGGGCACATGCCCAGGTTACAGGCTCAATCCCTAATGGGGGGCATGTAGGAGGCAGCCAATCAATGATTCTCTCTCATCATTGATGTTTCGATCTCTCTCTCCCTCTCCCTTCCTCTCTGAAATCAATAAAAATAGATTTAAAAAAAAGAAAAATGTTAGTGTTTTAGCCCTGGCGGTTGTGGCTCATTTCATGCACTGAGAGGTCACCAGTTCGATTCCTAGTTTGGGGCTCCCGAGTAGGGGGCATGCAGGAGGTAGCTGATTGATGTTTCCCTTTCCCTCTCCCTTCCTTTCTGTCTAAAAGCAATAAAAACATTGTTTCTAAGTTAGTGTCTTAGATAGTTATGCTGTTGTCATTTTCATGGTAAAATAAAACAGAAGCTAAGCAAGTAGTTTGGCTTTCTGGGGCTGTGCTGTCTAATGCTATATAGCTATTAGCCATATGGAACTATTTACATTTAAACTAATTAAAATTAAATGAAACTAAAAATTGAGTTTCTCAAGTTACAGTCAGTTGAAATTTAATTACATTTCAAGTGCCCAGTAACCTCATGGGGAAATCAGTGACTGTCATCCTGGACACCACAGATCATCAGACAAGTCAGTCCATGGAAGCAAAAAGTCGTCAGACCCTGCTGCTGTAGAGTGTGCTGTGTAGAGCATAGAATTTACCACACACCCCTCTTTCTAGGTAGATAAAGACTTCTGTGTACATTACATGTTTTTAGGGATACGAATTTCTGGTTCTTTCATGATAGGAAATTTGGAATTCGTCTATGGTATATTTGTTTAACAAATAGTCATGTGCATTCCATGGGCCAGGCACCATTTTAAGATTCTGAGAATAAATTGGAGATGAGGTTTCCTTATCTTATGGACTTTCTTCCCATTTTAATGGGCTTGCTGTTAAAACCTCAGATTTGCCAAAACTTCAGCATTCATTTTCTGTTGTCAGGGAGATACATCTATAGTCCTAGCAGGTAGTGGCCCCAGCCTTTCTCTGATATTTCCAGCATTTAAACCTGTTATCCTCCCGCACACATAGGGCCAAAGACACCTTGGGCATTCAGATGTTCATGGTTCCAGAATTGGTGTATTTCTAATCCAGTCCCTTCTAAAAAAAGATAGCTTATTCCAAAAATATATCATTAAGCACTGGTCGGTGTGGCTCAGTTGGTTAAATGTTGTCTGGTGCACCAAAGGGTCATGGGTTCAATTCCTGGTCAGGGCACTTACCTAGATTGTGGGTTTGATCCCCAGTCAGGGTGAGGCAACCAATCAGTGTTTCTCTTGTTTCTCTCTCTTCCTCCCTCCCTCCCTTCCTCTCTCTCTAAAATCGATTTTTAAAAAATGTGTTGAGGAGCCCAGCTAGCATGGCTCAGTGGTTGAACGTCGACCTATGAACCAGGAGGTCAGGGTTCAATTCCCGGTCACTCTCTCATCTACACTAATAAAAGAGAAACATGGTAATTGGCGTACGACCGCTACCCTTCCCATTGGTTAATCAGCGTATCCTTATGCAAATTAACTGTCAGCCAAGATGGCGGCTGGCAGCCATGCACTGAAGCGAGCAGGGAGGCTTGCTTCCTCCAGGAACTGCAGACTCCAACGTTCCCCGCCTCACTTGCCGGACTCTCAACTGCAACTCTAAGCAACTATTACTATGTTGCAAATAAGAAGCTAAACAAAACCGGCTGTCAGTCAGCCCTGGACTGCAATATTGTATCCATGTTTTCAGCAGCGAGGCCTCAGAGCTAAAGCTGGCCCAGAATAAAAAAAAAAAAAAAGAAAACAAGGAGCGGTTGGGAGCTTTTAGTCAACTGCCAGC